CTATTTGACTTAAGCGCCACTAACGGCGACTTCCCCACTTAAAAACCCTCTTTGACAACATGATGGCGCTGGCGTTGCACAAATTACACTAGACACTAAGTGCTAGTAGCGCCAAGTGGCAATTTTCAACAGAAAATTTATCGATACTAGCGACAAATTGGTCGAAAGTGGAAAATTTTTAGAGAAAATCAGGAGATGTTAACACCACGTAACGGCGACGTTCCCACTTATTTTACACAAGTTTCTGACCGAGCTTGAACGTCTGTTCTCTGTGGTTTCGCGTAGATTCATCAATTGGCGTCTTGCAGTGAAACTTTTGCAAGCTTTCGCCACCTATATTTCGAAGTAAGAACTACTAGAAGGAGGATAGTTTCCAAATTCTCCAAGTAAAACAGACGATTTTTGGGGCAAATCGGTACATAAAGAAAAACTTATTATTTCGGGTGGAAACTTTTGCTTGAATCGTGTAAGAAAACGTGCTTGCAAACTAACTGTTATTATTTCGGTATGGATCGGAGATGTTTTCATGGAAAATTATGCATAACAAGTTTGCACCCACAGGTAGAGGTTACCTCCTGCGCAGCTGCATTTTTCGGAAAATAGTGAATATGTGCGATTTCCACTAAGATGAAAGTGAAAATTAAGTGAATTTACTTAGGAAAGGTTGTATCATGCTGGTGGTAATGGAGAATTGGTTGTATAGGACGCCAATATTCAATAAATGTTCATTTTGGCCGTTTTAAGGCAAAAATATTGATACTCACAATTTTCGACGGAAAACGCACCATGCTATAAAATGATGGTAGATGGTCTTCAAAGTGATAACAAGATGACAAATCATCTTTATTTTGAGTAATTGAGCAATTTACTTCTGTTTACCATCATATGTACGATGCAGCATTGATGGAGCCGTGAAATGAAATGAATATATCTTATGAAAGTTCACCTGGAAAAGTTAAAGATGCACATCAGTCTGATCGTGAAAACATTTTCTTCTCCAATTCGAATGTTATATTGGAAGGATTTCACGCAGGCTTGATGAAAATTATGATTTAATGCTAATTTTCACGAATTTTATATGCAGTCTGTCAACATTATCATCATCATGCAGTTGCGACATCTGCGTTGAGCTTTTGCGGCAATCTTCCAATATCGCCTGAGTTGTTTTCAGTTAGGTTTTGCACCGTCGGGGTTAACCTCAATCTGATGACAGTTCAGTGGTACTGTTTGCGTGGACTTAGTCATTTTTTTCTTGGGTGGATTTTCTCGATAATTTTTCAGACTGCAGTGAGATGTAAACCACACTTCTGCAATATCCACAAGCAACTTCCTTTCAACGCACTGTTCCTCGACAATTTTCATGTTAAAATTCGGAAATTTTAGAATATTTTTTTTTCGGAAAAACGACTAAGTGCTTGTAAACAGTACCACTGAACTGTCAAAAAGGTTAAGCCGATTAATAGTACGTTCAGACTACAGAGTTATAACATGTTATAGCGCTATCTTGATGGTGGTCTCTGTGTTGTAATTATTTGACAACCGTTATAACATGTTATAACCATAGAGGTAACTCTAAGACCAAAAGGTCTCGAAGAAACGTACTCAACTTTTTGGCTCAGCTCTGGTACTATCAAAGATGAATACTAAGATGAAACTGTCGGAAGAAAAACTTTCTATTTTTGTGTCCTCTTTCGCGGTCCCTTTCATCCAATGAATACCCCCCGTATGCAAGGTAATTTTGTCGTTTGGCTGCCCCCTCGGTAGAGATGAAATCTTGCGCACTTTTTTAGCAAAACAATCACACCAAAATCAGAGATGTCCCATTTTTTAATTACTCGATTAACAACTAATCGAATATTTTTTGTTCACTGTGCTGCCATTTTTCCACCAATAAGAGTGCAGCACATGTTTGAAACGATCGGTGATGATCCTCTGGAGAAGTTAATGCTTATATCGGCATGATATAACCGATTAAAAATATGTTAATTAATCGATTATTCGAATGAAAATCGGCCATCACTAGATGAATGTGAAACGTCATGTCAGATATAAGGACCGTACATAAATAATGATACAATTTGAAAGGGACCAGGGCTAATCACAAATTACGTCCACACGGTAACTGAAATAAACACGAGTGTTCACCGGTTGGTACTATCTTCGGCCCCAAGCTAATCAATTCACCCCTCGAAACATAGGAAAATCCATAACCCCTCATTTTAAATATCTGTCAAACTTTCATAGAGAATCAAAACAAACATAGTGTAGTACTAGAATTTTGATTAGAGTGGGGTACGTAATCGATTTGCTTGGGACCAATAGCACAAACGAAGTGACAGACGGAGCGGCTCAAAAACTTTGGTGACTAACCTGCTATTGCTATTTTTCAGTGTACCACATGGCAACACCACTACTACTGGATTGTACCACATGGCAACACTACTATTAGATTGAACTAGCATTTTCACCAAATGTACTAGAATATTTTCGTTCTATCTCTTTCACTCTACTCAAAACTGAAATGCATAAAAAAAATGACAAAATGATACGCACTCTTTGCACACTGTCAAAGAATCATTGTACACAAAATCAACTTTGTTCAAATCAAAACAAAAAAACTAACCCATCTGGTGGATGATGGCACAAGCTTCCAAGAAAATTCTATTACAGTGAACCACATTATTTAAATGGATTTCTTCGCCAGTAAGTCGTCTGTCACTTCGTTTGTGCCAATAGGCTAGTCAAGTGGTGAGCCAATTTAAAATCGTAAGTTTCGTATTGATTGTTGTTATAACTCTCCAGTCTGAACAAGGCATAACACTGAGTTCATTTATGACGTCACACTGCAGTACCTAAAAGACGAGTGCACGGGTGAACTTTTGTTCATCTACTGAATAAAAATTGACACAACAGTGGGGCCCTGTTTACTAAAACTGAATACATGAATAATCTCGCATAAAATTTGAAATGGGCCTATCAACTTTTGTACACAAAACTTGTTAAGTCCTCTTCGCGCGAACCGAACACGCCCACGCAAACTAACAACACCATCGGGTAGGGGAAATTCTCCCCTTCCTGATAGTGCTCTTGGTTTGCGTGGGCGTACTTCGGTTCTGGTGAAAAGGACCTAGCAAGTTGTTAACAAAAGTTGATAGGCCCTTTTTAAATGTTACGCGAGCATTATTCATGTGTTCATTTTTAGTAAACAGGGCTCCGCTGTTGTGCCAATTTTTGTTCAGTAGATGAACAAAAGTTCACCCGTGCACTCGTCTATTAATGGACGACTGCACTGATGAATTTGAGTTCACTCACTCGTGAAAAAGTGACACAAGCTGCGGGCAATGTTTACTAATCATGAACACTTAATGTTCATTATTCATGGACATTTAGTGTTTATGATTCATAGACGAGTGCACGGATGGATTTGAGTTCACTCACTCGACAAAAAGTGACACAACAGCGGGGCCCTGTTTACTAAAAATGAACACATATGTGTTCATTTTTAGTAAACAGGGCCCCGCTGTTGTGTCACTTTTTGTCGAGTGAGTGAACTCAAATCCATCCGTGCACTCGTCTATGGACACTTTTTCTCGAGTGAGTGAACTCAAATCCATCGGTGCAGTCGTCCATTAATAGACGAGTGCACGGGTGAACTTTTGTTCGCTTCTGATTTTGACAATTTTTGGTTGGATAATCAAGCACTGGTGAATATCAACAAACGCGTATTCGATGATGTATAATGAACTCATTTGTTCGTTTTGCTCGTTCGTCACAGCCAAGATATTCAAACTGAACGCAATTCATCTACAGTGGGTTGAAACAGTACTCCTTGTGCGTGATGGTAAATAATAAAAACAGACACTGAGCACATGTACCAGTGAGTTAGTCGAGAATGCTTTTCAAGTTTCCAACGAAGCATCCAGCGCAAACTTAAGCTACACCCGAAATCCTTTTGGAACTACGTGAACGCAGGGAATCCGGCCTCCCATCGTCTATTGAAATTCAACGGAGAAGTTGCTGCCACCGTTCAGGATATATGCCGCCTTTTTCCGTGCCAGTGTTTGCCAGTGTATTCACTAATGACTAATACTAACTGACGACCATATTAACCTGGCTGCCAGGAACGTTCCAGTAAATGATCAAACGCTGGGTGCAATTGATGTTAATGCTGAGATGATTTCCAAGGCCGCGACTCTGCTCAAGTCATCCTTCAATACTGGACCTGATGGAGTTCCATATGTATTTTTGAAGAGACATATTGCTGCTTCATCGCCTCCAGTGGCATATTCATAAGTTGATGGGTCAATAGGTAGGGTCTAGGTGTGGGAGCTGCCTCCCTGGCGTCGGTAGCATTGATACACAGTACGGAAAACAAGATCGACGGAAAACAAATCAAGGAAAAACATCCCCTATACTAGGTATATTTTTGTGAAGTGCGTTGATGCCCATAGGCCAGAGTGACCGCCTTGTCCCATTTCCCCCAATTCGTCGTATTGATCTATGCGGATTGATCTCGTTTGTAGGTTTCTGTTTAGCGGGTGGCCTAAATCCTGCACCAACAAAAATGCTTGGAATCTTCGTATTCAATATCAAGTAGTAAGGTTTTAAAGCTATTTAAATTTTCTCCAGTTATTAGTAATCGTAGATTCGATCCTCTTAGGTGCCAGAAGAATAATCAACATTTGTTTAGTCTTTAAGTTACGTAAGTACCCCGAAAAGCCATAATTTCGCGTGGCACCTAAACGTATGCTTTTTCCATTCACTAGTCAATAATACCTATCTACATATTCAGCTCAATTTAACATAACCACGTAACACATTATTTTGGTATTTTTTCAAAACTACGCGAAATTATGGTACTTTTCATAGTGGTTCAGTAACAAACTGCATAAATTATCAAATTGATACATAATTGCTAAACATTCCAGTAATGGCTATGGGATTAAAAGCATGCCTTTAAAATAAAAATAACGAATGTTTCTTTTTTTCCCCACCAACAGGATGGCGGTGCTCCGGTCCTCACCGACGACGTGTCGCTACAAGTATTCATGGAACACCTCAAGAAACTGGCCGTCTCCTCCACCACCTAATAGAGGAAGGATTTTGCCAATCGCTTTCGTCCCCATTTAAAAGTGTGTCAGATAACTATCCCATTTTATCAAGCTACTCCGATGACATGATTGTGTGGTTGTCTCAGCGTCAATTTAATCTTTGTGCTTGTGGTAGGTATATGTGTAGGAAGAAGAAAGATAAAGAAATGTGCGCGACGGGATGCTTTTCAATTAAAGATCGAGAAGTGTTCAGCGCAGACCGCCATCGATTCAAGTCGTCGATGAAGCGAATAAGCGAGCAAGTGGAAATATAATTGATGAAAATATTTAACTAGATGATTTATATGTTGAAAACGAAACTGTATAACTGTTTGAGTAAATAAATTGAGAAGGGTCAAACCCGTGAATGACTTTTCTTTCGAAAGAAATCGCGGCTCCTGGTTTTGGTTACACACACATTAATTATTTATTTGTAATACTCTTTCTTTTATTCCACTATTTACACCATGCAGCTACTACATCACAAACATTTAATTATCTTCTTCTTTGGAAATATCCCCAAACAATCGTCCATCTTCCCCCATATCTGTTTAGCGCTCGTCGTGTGTATTAGTTCCAACTTTAAAACTAAAACGAAAAACTCTCCTACCGCCCTGAAACAGAAAGAAAAACGAACATCTACTGTGAACTAAGATTGCCCCAAATTGGCAAACCAATCACACCACGAGCGTCGATTTCAGTTCAGGAACCGAATCGACATCTTCTGCTCGACATCGGTGCGCTCCAAGGCACGGCAAAAGTCCTCGAACGTGATCTTGCCCTGGCCCATCGAGTCCGCCTCGACGATCGTCCTTTCGGCGATGCTGTTCAGTTGATCCTGACTGATGTTGGCACCGACCATCATCTGCAGGATGCTCAGCAGCTCATCCCGCGAGATGTTGTCATCGTCGTCCAGGTCGTACATCTTGAAAGCGAACAGTAGCTTCTCCTCACGGTTGTTCAGCTTATTCTCCTTGTTCGGCTTGATGGGGCGGAAATGGGCCAGCACCTGGGTAAACTGGCGGAAGTTGACCCGATCATCACTGCTGTCGGCAAAGAACGAATGGACAATCCGTTCGCACAGTGGATTGATGGCCAGCTCCGGAATCCGTAGGAAATCCTCCCGAGTCAGTGTTCCACAGTCGCTGCGATCCAGTGAGGTGAAACGCGAATACAAACGTTCGATCTGGTTCGGGGTGACTGCGAAAAAAAAAACAAAACAAACCAATCACGTGAGATCGTGCTTAGCAATTGTGGTAGCTAATGATCCACCAAGCAAACATGCTAATTGCACACATCGCCTCTCAGACAACGTAATTAAAAACGCCAATCAAAATCCACTACACGGTACTAGGTGAATACACATCGCTGTGATAAGCGACCGATGATAAGGCACCTCAAGTCCTCGAATATTGAAACCATAGCACACAGGTAGGCCTACTTATCAAACTCGTGTCACCTCGACACAGTGAACAGCACCTCCCAACAATAAAGTCCCCAATTATTACCGTTTTACGAAGAGTCGTCGGTACAAAGCCCCATCCATTAGCAGTAAATGAAAACTGCAAACACCCAGCATTGATTGGGAATTTTCCAAGGCCGACGGAACACCGCCCCCAACCGCCCCTCCTCGATACTCACATCCAGTTTCCTCGTGAATTTGTGTAATTTCCTCCTCCCGGAGCAGCAGTGACGATTTATTTCCCATAACTGGTAGTTTATGTTGACGAGAAGCTTCAAGTTCAAAGGTTGTTATTCGGCACAAACAAGCAAAAAAACACTGAACCCTAATCTTTGCTGACCACAATACCAGTCACTTCCAACTAGCTGTCGTGACTTTGACCGAATGACGAGCTCCAAAAGCCGAAGGGGGGCGAGTGTTTTTGAGAAAAAAAAAACAACTGTAAAACACGACAGCTGGCAGCCGTGCGTTCACATAATAAAAAAAAATCGCTGGGCCATTCAGAAACGCCCGTTTCGCCCGGCTTTAGGATAGGGCTGGCAGACGGTTCACGTCCGATGAGGGAAATGCACACTCAAAAATATTACTAAACGAAGGTAGATTAGAATTTATTCATTTTATGGTTAAGCCTCGGAAAAATCACAAATGGCGTCGTCTTAGATGTATAATACACAGGCATTTTTTCAACAAACTCAGAGTTATTTTCACTCGACGCAAGCTTTATACCAACAATCAATACGAAACTAACGATTTTAAATTGGCTCACTACTTGACTAGCCTATTGGTCCCAAGCAAACGATTAAAGTTCCCTATTCTAATCGAAATTCTACTACTACACAATGTTTGTTTTGATTAGCTATGAAAGTTTGACAGATAAAATGAGGGGTTAGTGGATTTTCCTATGTTTCGAGGGGTGAATCGATTAGCTTGGGACCGAAGATAGTACCAGAGCTGAGCCAAAAAGCTCGATCTTCGAAGCCTTTTTGATCAAGATACAGAGCTCTCGACAGAGCCTTCTCATCCGGAACATCGATTTTCTAGCGCAAGATTCAGCACGACGGCAAGGCAAAACAAAATGAAAACAAAATATCTGTCAAATGTAGTAGGGGATCCTCTCAGGGAGATCAGGCTTGCTAGATTATTTCTAGATAAACATTTCAAAACGTCCTATCTTCATTGATCGATTCTCTTAATCGACTTTCTCTGTCGCTAATAACTCAACATCAAAAGCATTCCCTGCTGTGTTCAATGTTCTAAGCGCAAAATAGTAACTTCTGCTATAAAACTTTGTGGCAAAAATAGCACGAAATGTGGGCGTGGATATCGAAAGAGAAAGTCGATGAAGAGAATCGATCAAAGTACATAGGACTTTTGAAATGTTCATCGAGATTTAGCAAACCTGCAGCTGAATTCCGGGCATAAATTTCAACGAAGGGAAAGAAATGTCTCCGAAAGAAATGTCTTCGATGAAAAGTATGCCCGGAATTCGGATGCTGCAGTGGGGAATCGGTTCGTCAAAACTATTTAATGTCTCGAATCTGGAACGATGGGGGGACGATGTCACATATTTCACAAAACCCACACAAACACCATCCGTTCGAAAGTCGCTAACGTTAATAATTAAATTATTTCTCATGAAGCACACTTCCGTGTCCTTATCCCGAATTAACCAAAATTTGTCTGGCTTGTCTCCGCCGACCAGGATTCAATGGGCAAATATTCGGTACACTTCTAAGGATGCTCTCGAAGCGGGTGTTCAGATTACAAGTGCTGACCATACGGGCAGAGAACTGGAAAGATTATTTCCTATTAGATAGAAAAGAATAATAATTAAAAGACGATATAACTCACGTGAAAAGCATAATCCAACACCGGTGACTAGTACTTCTGGAGGGTGGCGTTGACAATGTTGTTCAACTGAACACTCGAGTCCCAGCAGAAACTTAATGATGTTGCAGGAAAACTAGACCGGCCTTTCACCGGTTACAAGATTCTATTGTTCGGAGCGTTCTGGATTTCAATTATCGTTCTTTTGTTGAAAAATTGCGGTTTGAATGCACGTAGTTTTAAGATTATCTACCGAGTCGAGTATAGTAAGATAAAAACGAGTACTGAACAAGATACAAAATGGCTACAATAGAGCGGTTAAAAATAGACCAACCAGTGTGAAGGTTCACATTTTTTATATTTTACCTTGGTCTATTTTAGTTTGACTGGTCCAAAAGTGACATAGATTTAAATCTAGAACAGACCACCGCTAAAGATGCCCTAAGGCTGTGTTCCATTTGGTGAATTTTCACTTAAATTTGACAGATGGAAAATTTTCAAATAAACCTGCTTTTGTACCAGACTTATTTCTGACAGACCAGGAATCTATTTTGACAAACATATTCTCGAAAATAGAAAGATCAACAGCAGAGGGATTTTCGAACATCTTAATTTATTTTCGAACTGTCAAATTTAAGTGAAAATTCACCAAATGGAACACAGCCTAGGCTTGCATTCTCTCCCTTTATACCGACCTTTGCGTCGGTACGGAGAGTTGCGATTTAGCGTAACTTTTATACTACATATTTAGATTTCAATATTTTTTGAGTGTTCAGTAGATTTTGTTTGTTACCGATGAAGGTTTCGGGCGATTATGAGCCAACAGGTCTATGTCAAGGTCTATGCCATAAAAAGAAAGTTATGTGAATTTTTTGGTAAAAAATACCGTTTGCTGTTTTTCAGTTAAGCACACGATAAAGCACTGATTAACTGATTATGATCCTGCAATCCGTTTTAGTGATGTTGAATATTTGGGCCCAATTGCGCAAGTTGAAACGAAACATTTTTTTGTATGAACACTTGTATGAAAAAGTTTGTCGTTTCGACTGCTTGCCCCTTAAATTTGGTGTTAAATTTTCGGGATTGGGAGGATAGCTCCAATTTTCCCACCGCTTCAAAGGTTTCTAGACTAGATGCCCTTCGGAATCGTTTCGTACCACACGATCATTCCAAATGCGGCCCTGCTGATGATGCGACTCGAATTCAACGAACTGTCAAAAAGCTAGAACCAAAAACACGCGATTCGTTTCACTTTTTCTGGGAGCGGCTTCTATTTTCTCCGAGTTTTAGACAAAAATTACAGAAGCTAATTTCCACTACTTGTGGCGGCATTACCATCGATAGTTTCATTAAATCCAAATGGATGAAACGGAAAGTGCTCGGTTGAAGGAAAAAGCCTCCGGTGAAATGGACGCCGAACTGAAGGAGAAGGATCCAACGGCGGAAGAGAGCACGAAAACATTGGATTCGGAAGATGGTAAGTGCCAATCGGTAATAAAGTCCTTTAAAAAGTGATAATCTCTGATAAATTATGACACTCGAGCATGTTAGAAAAGTAAGATTTTCCAACTTGTCACACGAAAATACCAACATTTTTGCCGGATCCGACTCAAAAGTACCCTATCTCTATCCAAAACTGTTTACTTCTCATATGTGAAGAAAGTTCAAGAAGTGTTATTTCGCGTCATTGAAAAGTCTGGAAAAATGATGGGTGAGTGTGATTCACTTCAAGCATCCTTTTCTAGAAAATCTATTCTCAAGCGAATCTCCATTGGTGTCTTTTTCGTTGTAGGTTTCAAAAGGGCTGCAGAGGATGAGCCGGAAATCAGTCGCAACAAAATACAAAAATTGGACCAACCGTCGGTTGCTATTAGTGGGAAATACTTGGAGGAGGATTTTCGGGAACAGTTCAACCAAAGTTGGTCTAAGAACGAAGCCCTACGGGGGAATGATTACCAGCTGAAAAGTGATCCTTTTCAGGTAGCTATTTTGCAGGGATTTTTAGAGGAAAACGAAAAGGAATGCGAAGTGACTCGTGAGTTGGAACGGGAATTCACCGAGATGGATTGGAAGCGGAAGCAAATGGATCTGTATGAGTTCTACCAAACGATGGACTTGTGTGCGGTAACGAAGAAGTTTTTGGCTGGGTTCTACAAAAATCTGAAAGAGAAGGTGCTTCCGATGATGCAGGAATTGACTGGGATCCGGTTGAGTAGTGTTTCGGCATCGTGTTCGATGTACAATGCGGGAGATTACTTGCTGGTGCACGACGATCTGTTGACCGATCGAAGGATTGCGTTCGTGTTTTATCTGAGTCCATGGGAGAGTCACCGGCAGTGGTCGGCTGAACACGGTGGAGCGTTGGAGCTGTTCAAAGCTGATGAGAATATCCTTCCCGTGTTCCCGGTGACCGATTGTATATACCCTCGGAACAATCAGCTGGTCTTTTTCAAAGTCTGCGAGAAGTCCTTTCACCAGGTCGGGGAAGTAACGACCTTCGAATATCCAAGATTGACGATCAACGGTTGGTTCCACGGACCCGTCGACCAGGAAAGTGTTCCACATTCTTCCATAATCATCGACACTCACTATTTCGGTTCCGAACCGGATGGGATGCAACTCCCCGAGTGGATTAACAACGTCTTCCTGATCGATGAAGTCAAGTACAATGTTCAAAAGAAGGTGGAAATGTTTTCCGAAATATCGCTGGGGGAGTTCCTCAATCCGGATATTTTCGACGTGATGGCCGAAACTCTCCGAACGAGCACCGATCTCAGGTGGGTCATCAAAGGTCCGGCCCATCTGCGGAAGTACGAAATTCTTGATTTCAGCACCGTCAAGTCCGGTCCCCTGTCGGACCTGTACAAACTGTTCACGAGTCGGGACATTTTCCGCTTGCTACACGAGTACACTGAGCTGGACCTGGCCGGTCCGAAGGCCAAATCACCCACCTGTGCCATCGAGTTGCAGCGTTGGCAGAAAAGCTGCTACACAGTCATCGGTGATCCGACGTCCTACTCGGATTGCACCCTGGATGTGCTGCTATATCTGAACGCACAGGAAAATGTGGGCGTGGTGACCTATCTCGTCCCGGATGGGGAGCAGCATCCCAGCAGCAACTCGGAGGAACCGGACGAAGCCGATCCGGTCCTGTTGACCGTGTACCCGAAGGACAACGTGTTGAATTTGGTCTATAGGGCCGAAGGAACGACCAAGTTTACCAAGTACGTGTCGAAGAATGTGTTCCTGGAGCAGGAGCAGGCCGGAGGAAGAAATGGTCATCCGTACACGTACATTCTGGCTTGTAGCTATAGGGAGTAAATAATAAACGATGCGTATGCTTTTGATTGAGACGAAACTTTGGTTTGGATTTGTTTGTGGGGCCGGAAATTGGGCTCAGAGAACTATCCCTATTACGAATGCTTGTTTCGCATAAGCTGGCGTAATCTGACGTTTCTATTTGGTTCAAAATCTGGTACATTTAGCGTAGTATTTACATAATTTTAACTAAGGGCAAAATTATCGCTACGTACATTTTCATACACTATCACACGTACTCAACAGACTCCATCCACTTCTACGCCACGTTGGCCTTCGTCGTGGTTATCATCGTGATTGGCGTTCCCATGTGGTGGAAAACCACCGAAGTCTATCGCGTCCCACTGCCGTATTCGGAAATTGAATCACTGGACGACGTCCCCATCAAAGCTACCATCCGAATGGGACTGTTCACGAAGTCCAAAGAACGGCGGGACATTCTGCTGTTTGAACTTGGCAAAAAGTTTGAGAACAACTGTGAGTTCTAGGTTCAACAAACGACTTATTGACGGTTGACTAAAGGTTAAAAAATTATTCCAGTTGTGTTCAATCTTCAGTTGGAGGAATTCTCGCTAGATCCGACCATTGCTGAATCAACAAAAACTCCAGCAGCGTTGGAGGCTGCAATCCTAACGCGCTATCCCCTAGGTCTGGGAGAGTTTGCACTCATCGAGTGGGGCAAACTGGAAGACGATGTTCTGGTGACTTCCGAACGGACGGCCTTCATTTCCGAGAGTGCCAGTAGGTTTTCACTGTCATTTGGGTTGTCATTTCACTAAACGAATATTTCTTCCAGCCTCCCTGAAGATCTATCAAGTGCTGTCGTCATGGATACTTCAGGAGTACAAGCTCAAAGCTATCCTGGGTTCGAGGGACATGCAAACGAGCAAGGGTCGTCAACTGAGGCTGAATACGGCACCGATGCAACCGCACTACGAGATACTGATTTCGGTGCTGAATCCTCGGCCAGACATTCAGAAGATTCACTGGAATGCCCGTGCTGCTGCCGAAAGTAAGTTTCAATTCACACTGGGCTTCAACAGTTTCAGATTACAGAAATTGAACTTTCCAGACTACATTATCCCTTTTCTGAATGGCCTGTCAACGATCGCCAACTTCACGGTAAAAACCCAATGGGTCTACCAGGTTGAGATTCATAATCCCCAGAAGCAGATTCCGGACGAAGGCAAACTACACAGACACTATGCCATTCAGGAGGATGCCCTGCCGCATGTCATCACGGCGTTCGAGAAGAAGCTGGGTAATCAAATTTCAAACGACCCGGCGATCCATCTGGTGGTGTACGTTCCTCCGTGCGGACTTGCTCCTCTACGAATCTACCGCAAAGATGGCAGCCGTGCTTCCACCAACAACGTAGAAGCGTTCACTTCGGCCAAATGGGGCGGAATCGTGCTGGCGAATCCTTCCGAGGATGCAATCGCAAAGTGCATGGAGAACCCGTCGGGCAATGCTGAAATCTACATCAGCTCCCAGGATGTGATGCCAGTGCTATTGTACCAGTTGCGAAAGATTTTCGATCTCGAGAATAATGTAAGTTTCGTCGCAGAACTCTATCTAGCCTAGCTTTTACTAAAGGTTTTTGTTTTTTCTAGATCCCCCTACTAGACTCTAGCATAATCCCGTTCAACTCAATCGAACCCCGCATCTGGGAGGTGGACAACTTTGTCCGCTCCAACACCATCTACCGAATCCACTCGGCAACGTTGACCCTGCAGTCGCTGATTCAGCTGCTCGGTGGAATCGACTACATCGTAATCAACGACCAGGTCGGAGCGGCCATCAAGGATGCCCACGAGCGGATCATTCTGGCAAAGCAGCACCTGCTGGCCAATCGACTGGCGGAGGCTGCTGCCGAAGCGCGGCGGGCATACGTGTCGGCCGAGCGAGCTTTCTTCGATCCGAGCATGCTGGCCCTGCTGTACTTCCCCAGCGAGCAAAAGTACGCCATCTACATTCCGTTGTTCCTGCCCATCATGATTCCGGTGATCTTCTCCTTCAACTCGATCCTTAAGTTTTTGAGGAAACGGTTCGGTAAGCAAGGTGGAAACAAGCAGAAGACTGAATAAAGCAGAGGCAGACGAGCTGGTGGTTGGAAAGGGGGGAGGGGGTCATCAAATTGGTGCCAGTCGATCCGTTTGCATGTGTTTGAACTCCCTAATTTGAACGAGTGTGTGTTTGTGTTTATTTACAGAACAGAACTTAGTCTAAAATCCATATTGATGTTGACATTTGTCAATTTGTTACACTTGGTTTTGAAGAGGCCTTACAGAGGCGGAGAACGTGGCAAAGTGGTCGTCACGAGCAAGTGACAACGATAACATCCGTTTTTTTTGTTTGTTTACTGTTTGGTCAAGTGTAGATCATCCGCGGTGGTTGTAGAAATGGTGGGGTACTGTGGAGGATTCACGAACGGTGGAGCGGGTCGTTTAAGCTGCCGGGCGGTTGATTCCTGGAGGCCGATAGTTAGTGTTGATGACACGTCTGCAAGAGGGTAAGTCAGAATTATTTGAATGAATTGGAAAATTTGAAACTGATTTTTTTTTGACGGAAGAATAACATCGAATTCAAGCTAGCGTAACATACACCCTATTGGCGGCGGGGATGGCCCAGCTGAGGATCGCTCCCGGATCTCGTTTCGGGGTGATCCGCGAGAAAAAGATGCGTGATGTTCCCTTACTTGGTTCTTCGCGGTCTTCGGTCAGCACTTCGGGGGCGTCTTTGTTGAGCATCATATCTGCAATGGGCGGGGGTTGGAATGGATTTGGGTATTTGTCATTGGAGATTGAGGGAGAGGTTTCGGATTACTTACTTTTGTACTTGTTGAAGGTACGCTTGTCGTAAGCATTGTTGAGATTGAAATCGGTGAAGCCCGATAGCGGAGTTCGGTAGAAGACTGAGTTGCATGAAATGAAGAATAGAATATAAATAGGTACCTACTATATAATTAAAGTTTTGTGACATGTGATCATGTTCTTTACAATCATCAGAGCTGCGTCCACCTTCAAAAAGATTTGGGTGGGGCAAGGTACTATGGTCTTATTGAACATTTTGAATATTTTTGGAATATTGAAATGGATCCGGAGATGTATGGCTGGATCATGTTCTGGTTTGTAAATGCCATTAAACTAAATGCTGCCTGAAATAAATTAAACCAATCAAATGACATGAGCATTCAAAAACCAGTTCAATGCTAGTAATAACCAGAGCACAGGACTATACTGGCCACATCCGGCCATGCTCCGGGACATCTCGGCTCCAGTTTCTAACTAAGTAGTGTTAAAAATTCCAAAATGCGTTACCTTAAATCACATGAGAATTCATCTATCTTTTCTCATCGTAATTTATATTAGTAAGAAGGGTAAAATTTTATCATTGGAAGATTAATCCCAACTAACAATTTTCGCAATGTAAAAGTGATCTTTTTGCTCTTTTTAGTTTTTAGGCGTAGGACTGCGTCTGTGATTTCTATATGGGGGTACACTTTGTGAAATCCGAAAATGGAACATGTAACAAAATTATGAAAGATTTTGAACATTAATAACTCGCCTGCCCCTGGACCAATTTCAATAATTTTATCACCAATCGATCAGAAATATTTCTACGCATCAATAGCAATGCTTCTGACTGATGATTTTCAACAAGTAACTATTGAAAAAGTGGTAATATCAAGCATTGTCCAATGTACAAATAAAAAGTGATAATTTTATCACTGTTTTTTATGAAATAAACGTTCTTTCCAAACCCAGTCGTCATAATCGAGCACCACTTGGTTGCACATCATTCTGCTTTATCCTGGAAAGATATAAAAGAGCGCCGCTGTCTAGCCTCAACTCATGGCTCATTCTTTGCTCGACTGTTGAGCTCGAGTTCTCGTTTCGATTTTGTTTCGTTTTGTGCTGTCGCGTTACGCCGTGGAAGTGTCGCCCCTGTCTCGCGTTCTGGTAAGTTTACTTGAACTTGCAAACACGAAACAAATGGTGCGTAAACGTGCCAAGGAGACAGCAGCGGGCCCTTCAAAGAAGGTGCTAATCAAGCCCAGCGCGTCGCAGGATGACGCCGGAAAACGGGCACTGCAAGTCAACCAATATGCAGTACTCCCTGAAGAAAATGGCGATGGTGACGCCGTTCCCATTGCAAGAAGAGAGCGGATTCCCCCGCTTTTCACGCCGGCGAAGGATGTTGCCAAGCTGGGTGCCGAACTGGCAAAACACAAGCTGCTGCCTCGCTTCAAGCTTTCCAGCATCGGTACCAAAATGATGTGCTACAGTCTGGCAGAGTACAAACAAATATGATGTTTCTTGAAGGACAACAACGTGAACTTCTTCACGCATGATCTGCCATCGAGCCTGAGGCGGTGTACCAGATGAACCGGCGTTCCACCAACAACACCAGCTTCCGTGACCAGTTGTTCCTGGTGCACTTCACGAAGGGATCCACCAGTCTTGCGGCTCTGAGATCCAAAATCCGGGACCTGTTTCAGGTCATCATTAGTTGGGAGCATTACAAACCCCAACATCGTGATGTTACGCAGTGTATGAACTGCCTCTCCTATGGCCAGGGCACCAAAAACTGCCATATGAAGACAAACTGCGGCAAGTGTGCTGGAACTCACTCAACTGCGTCCTGTGAGCAAGTTGATGACATCGAGCCAACGTGTGTCAACTGCGATGGAAACCACAAAGCCTCCAATCGCGGTTGTCTCAAGCGAATGGAGTTCATTAATGTCCGTCGGAAGGCTACAATCAAGAACCAGCTCGGTCGCCTCCGTAATCATCGTTCGCCTCGGAAGTTCTGGACATGTTCCGAACCTAGCCCCGCTTCCGCGCAACAACCAACAAGCCAATCCTGCGCGTATCCAAATGGTTCCCAACAGTCGGACAGTTCAGCATCGTCTCGCTGCTGCTGCGGCCCAGCCGAGGGGGGCGACACATCTAAATCTCAAGTTAAGATGCTCAACAAATCTCACACTAGCGAATCAATCTTCGAAAAATCTTCTTTCATTTGTCGCATCTACTTGCATCGAGCATCATCTTTTTGCAGGAAAATTTCAGAATCGTCATCAATCTTCTTTCTATCTACTCAGCGTGCGCGCAGCTAGCCACAGCAAAACACAATCTTTTTCTGCATCGTAGATAGAGTCGTCCCCCTCGGGCCCAGCCAATTCCAGGTTCATCCACCGCCCCTGGTTTATCATACACTGATGGTGCTGTCTCAGGTAGACCTGTCGACGATTCTCCGTTCACCTCGGAGGAACTTGTGACGCTCGTGGCCGAGGTAATCATCTTCATGCGCACCTGCAAGACTCGATCTGAACAGCTACATGCTGCCCTGTCCCTTGTCACTAAGTATGGACCGTGAAGCCATCAAGAACGTAAATTGGAGTGCTTACTCCTTGAAGAGCAAAAACATCGAGTGTGTTGACTTTCTTAACGAACGGCACATCGACATAGCCGTCATCACCGAGACTCACTTGAAGCCCGAACTGAACGTCTTCCTTTGCGACTTTCGGCTCGTAAGGCTTGACCGCACCAGCTCCGGGGGAGGGGGAGTGGCCATCGCTGCGAGACGGAACATCAGCTACCGGCTACTACCAAGCTTCCAGCTGAAAATTATCGAAGCCATCGGAGTTGAGGTGAACACATCGCTTGATCCAATCACCATCATCGCGGTCTACTGCCCCAAGCAAACTACCCAGACAACCAGAATGTACGTATATGCAAAGTTGTTTTTGTGATATACAAACATATATACAAACAAACAAATCGTATAGAATGCAAAAAAAGGGCCTATACCTACAAAAGTGGAGGCCATATACGTGCAAATTTTAATTTCGTTTTAAACGAGTTGATTTGACATTATATACGATTCAATCTGTAATAACAAATTCAATTTGAAAAACCTTACGATGTAATCCGATTTAATTTGTGATACAGTACGATGAAAAAAAGATTCGTTGTATATAAGTCGGAAATTTGCATTCTATATGATTTTACTTAAACATAATGCGATGTATGTCATACTTATATGCGATGTTGACTTAAACTGCAGTTATTTACGATACTTTCTGTACATTGTTATACGACTTCTGGTTGTCTGGGTAACATTAAGGACAGCTCGGCCGAAGAGACATCATCAAGCTAACACGACGGCGGCAAAATTTTGTCATCGCTGGCGACCTGAACGCCAAGCATTAAGCCTGGGGCAATAGCAAAGAGGTAACTCTAAGACCAGAAAGTCCCGAAGAAACGAGCTCAACTTTTTGGCTCAGCTCTGGTACTATCTTCGGTCCCAAGCTAATCGATTCACCGCTCGAAACAGGAAAATCCACTAACCCCTCATTTTATCTGTCAAACTTTCATAGCGAATTAAAACGAACATAGTGTAGTACTGGAATTTATACTATAAAGGGGTACGTTAATCGATTTGCTTGGGACCAATAGGCTAGTCAAGTAGTGAGCCAATTTAAAATCGTTAGTTTCGTATTGATTGTTGGCAATAGTCAGCGAAACCAGAACGGCACAATCTTGTACAACGATCTGTAGAAAGCCCACTACAACATCCTGTGTCCGGACACTCCCACCCGGTTGAGTCGATCCGGAGCACATGTCACCACCGACATCTTCATCTGCAACATTGGCGATAACATCTCTCAACTTATCGCCTGTCAGGAACTGAGCTAGGACCACTATCCGGTGGTGGCCGAAGTAGGTTCCTCGGCCAATAAGTTTCAAGTTTCCCGGCGAAATTACCATCGTGTCAACTGGCAGCAGTATCAGCACTGTGTGGACACAGCAATCGATTACGACGTCCTACCGGAGTCGTTCGAAGACGTCGATCAGTGTCTGCAAACCATTGAAGAGGCGATATCCCGTGCCAGGGAGCAACACGTACCAGCATCCAGACAGGTGAGTCATACTCTGAACCTTGACAGCCCAACTAATACCCCGTTCACATTACAGCGTATATCACGTGATATAAGCTGTCTTGCAATGAGCACTCATACATCTAGTTTTCACTGGAAATCCTATGTATGAGTGCTCATTACAAGACAGCCTATATTACGTGATATAGGCTGTAATGTGAACGGGGTATAAAGATCTTATCAGGCTCCCGTAGCACCATTCGTAGGCAGTTCCAGCGTTCTGGGTTGCTCCACTTGAAGACCAATGTCAATAGGCTAACCAAAAATTATTCAGGCCAGGATGGTGGAACTCAGCAACAAGATTCGCTCTCTCTCAGATTGTGCAAAACTATTTTGGAAGATGACCAAAAATTTGAAAAAATAAGTCGAGACCGATACCTCCGCTTTCCTCTGTTGAACGGAACTTGTACCCATCCCTACTCATAACCCCAGTTGAAAAGGCCAATGCTCTTGGCCAACATTTCATTTCTGTTTTCACATAATCTTGACCAAACCATGGTGAGCCCCCATGAGCCTGCCGTACTAGAGTCGCTGACACCCCCGTAGTAGTGCATGATGATTGTAGAATATCGGCTGATGAGGTGATAGCATGAAGGCCGCGGGTATGGATGGTGTAGTCAACCTCGAGTTGAAAAACTTGAGTATTGACTTCTTCAACCATCTTACCCTTATCAAATGTTTGGAGCTTGGCAACTTCCCTGCATGCTGGAAGTTATCCTACCAGTGCTAAAAGCTATCGCCCCATCAGCCTCTTGTCCTCCATCTCGAAGCTATTCGAAAAGATGATACTCATCCGTCTGCTGGTGTTTTCAAATGATAATAACATCTTTCTCAAAGAGCAATTCGGGTTTAGAAAAGGCCACTCTACCATCCACCAACTCGCACGGGTTATTAACATCATCAAGCGGAATAAGTCCGTTTCCAATACATCTGCCACGGCATTCTTGGACGTCGAGAAGGCGTTCAACAAT